AAAAAAAAAAAAAAAAGGGACCAGGTTTGCTGGTCTGATAGAGCCTGATGGAACCACTGAGACTATGGCCCCTAGTTGCCCTCCAGGTCTGGAACTGAACCCACTCTCATGGCTTCCAGCCAAACAAAACACAGGTATATGAGCTGAACATTTACATTAGGTAGATACACTCCTTGGATAGCTCAATCAAGGGAGAATAGAAGGGCAGTGTATGCACAGGGAGGCAGCTGGGGGGAGCAGGAGTGCATGGGAGGGAAGGACTTGGAAGAGGAGGCTATGGGGAGGAAGTGGGAGGGGAGCTGCTGCATTGTGGGAAACTGCAATCAATGTCATGACACAAAGTATATGTGAGCTGCTGTATGAAAAGTGAATTTGCTCTGTAAACTTTCACCCAAATCACAATAAAAATTAAATAAAAAAGAAAATACAAATTAAAAAAAAAGCAGCAGACAGAATGGCTACACAACTTGAAGAATGTAATCAGTGTCACTCAATTGTATATGTAGAAACTGTTGAGGTGGGGTATATTTTGTTATGTATATTTTCACAATAAAAAATTCAAAACAAGTTTCCAATGGGGTAAAAACAAAGTAGCAGAAATAAATAATTCTCCCTGAAGAAGATTTACTTTAAAGTCAATTTTCCCAAAAGCCAATCTGAATCAAGGCCAATTTGTTGATCTATTTTCATGAAATCAGGGTCACGATATTACACCCCTTGCAAGTTTCATGTGCCTCTCAGAAGTCTGGTGTTCATCATTTCAGACATCTCTCCCCCTTTGGGATCTAGATACAGTAGCTCTATTTTCACATTTCTGGAAAGTTCTTATCACTACTATGATATTCTACATACCAATCACCAAGATCCTTGTTTGATGCTTGAACATTTTCCATTCTTTTGTCTTGTTCAATGTTTTTACTTCAGTTACAAAGTAAATGAATGCATTCAAATGCTTATTCCTTTAAAGTGAGGAATAATATGTTAAAAACACAAGTGTCACAGCCAACAGGAGTCTAAGGAGACATGACAATGAAATGTAATATATAATTCTAGATGGGATCCTGGAAGAGAAAAAAGACATTAAATAAAAACTAAGATGAATAAATAAATAATAAAAACCAAGGAAATATGAATAAATTATAGACTTTAGTTAGCAATAATGTATCAATATGAGTTAATTACAACAAATGTACCACACTAGTAATATAAATCCACTGTCAGTGAGTCAATTCCAGCTCATGGCAACCTCATGTGTTAAAGAGCTTAACTGCTCTCTACAGTTTTCTTGGCTATAATAGTTACCGAAGCAGATCGCCAGGCCTTTCTTCCTTGACATCACTGGTATGAATCTCCAATCTCTGTTTGTGCCCAGGGGCCCATGCTAATGTAAGATGGCTAACAATAGGGAAAGCGGTGTGTGTGCCGAGCAGGAGTTAGAGTGTATATGGAACTTTGTACTATCTGCTCAATTTTCTGTTAATCTAGAACTATTCTAAAAATAAAGTTAAAAAAGAAAAAAAGTGGAAAGAGGGATTGGCTAGACAGTTCTATTTTTCATGTTGAAAGCATAACAAGTTTAGTTCACAAAACATTAATCAACATATGTATCTTTTGTCTTTTTTGGAAGATGACAGAAATAGAAGGAAAAAAAAATCACATATACTCGTAAAAGAAAAAAGAGTTCAAAGGTATTCTTTGTCATTTCAAAAGTAACATATTTTGCAAAAATTGAAAACTCTGTTACTAAAATAATCCAGAATGTAAAAATGGTACCCGCCTTTTCCTTCCCCTCGATCCACTTCCCAGAAGTCACTTGGCTGAATGTTTAGAATGTGCTTCTCTGGGTATTTTCCCCTATGTATTCTATTAGAATTAGCACGGGGTGGGGGGGTTTTGGGGGATTTGCTTTACAAATAAGGAATCCTACTTAACAGTCTCCGAGTCGGTCTTTTTTTTCTTAGCAATATACTACTAAACTTCTAGATCAACCGTTTCAATCTACTTCCCTATTTTAAAGAGAAAACTGTGACTTTCAGTAGCTGCCAATCAGCCCCAGGATTTCCGCCGGTCCTTTAGACCCTGGACGTGGACCCGCGGACATTCTTTCGCTACGACCCCAGGTCACCCTGTCTGTTCCTGCTTGCAAGGTATTTGGGGCACCTCAGTTCGTGAGAAACCTCGTGCACTCTGCCTCCCACAGATGAAAGGAGGAGATAGACCGGGGGCGGGCCGGCGGCGGTCCATGGACAGCGGGGTGGACTAACTCGCACCAGAACTGGAGGATGCGCGGACCGACCAGCCGAGCAATTGCCGGTGGATACCTGCAGGCCCCGCCAGAGGACAGCCGAGCACCAAATCCGCGGTTTTGCGCCTGCGCCTCGGTCGCCGCTGTTCCTGCCCTGCGCATGCGCGGCGCGGCTCGCCACTGACGTGAACAGGAAAATGGCGGCGTCCGTGGTCTGCCGGTCAGCTAGTGAGGGGGCACGGGTGTTGCTGCACGCCCGTGGCTCGGTGAGGCTACGACGATAACTCAGGGATACAGGGCACGGGGATGTGGGACGCTGGGCTTCAGGACACAGTCGGGGAGCCGACAGTTAGCGGCGTCGGATCGAGGTGGAGAGGTCGCAGGGTCAGAGCCGTGGGAAGGTCATGGCCGAGGGCGTGGACAGGGTCTCGTGGCGCGCCTGGGGAACAGAACGAAGGCTCTTCTGCGGGAGAGGCTTGCTTGAGGGTCCCGCTGAGGAGCGTCCCCTCAACCTAGCCCACAGTTACCACCTCCCTCTCTCCGCAGCCAGCCCTTTTAAGGGCTTCTCTGCGGGGCGCGGCCACTTTCTCCCAAGCCCTCCAGAACGTGCCTGAGACGCAGGTCAGCCTGCTGGACAACGGGCTGCGCGTGGCCTCGGAGCAATCTGCCCAGCCTACCTGCACCGTGAGTAGGAGGCGCTGCCTGGGAGGGTTCCTTGGGCTCCTCTGTGGCCCGACTTCCCCCTGTGGTTTGGATTCAGACTCCGACTTTCTTACCGCTGGATTGCCCCTTATACCCCAGCTCTGACCCAGCCACCTCCTTGACTTTTGGGGGCAATTCTTCAGAGAACCAGCGTTCATTTAGAGACCAAGTTCTTCTCCAGCTATTTCTTAGGATTATCGATTTTCCGTTGTACAATGAGGAAAATGGAGTTCAGAGAAGTAACTCTCACAGGTCCAGGTCTATCAGTAACCTCTAGGCTAGACCAAGAATGCACATATTGAAGAAAAACATTTGGAGATTCCAGTGAAATGGGTGATTTTCTAAAAAATATGAATCCTTACATTTGACTCAAGGCTAGAAATTGTGAACAGATAAGTGAATAGGCAAGGAGTTTCCCAAGAGTTACCCCTGGCCCTCAGAAGCTCCAGGGCCAAGTGGGTTGTACTGGCAAATTCTTTTAGCTTTCTAGGAACAAATAGTGGGCTGCGATGTAAGTTATCACTGAACTACAGGAAGAGATGGCAGGCAACTTCCTTATTACATGGCACCATCATAAACCAAACCTGAAGTGTGTTAAGAAAACTCAGTAAAGAATGGTTCATTTCATGGAACCTGAGATGCTCTATATCTACAGAGCTCCATTGTGCTCTAGTGCCAGAGAAGGAATGCTGCTCAGTGTAGTTAAAGGACACCAAAAACCAAACAACCAAACTCACTGCCATTGAGTCGATGATGACTCATAGGAATCCATGTTGGGTTTCCGAGGTGGTGAATCTTTATGGAAGTAGATCGCCCAGTCTTCTTTCTGCAGAGTGGCTGGTGTGTTTGAACTGCCAGCCTTTTGATTAGCAGTCAAATGCCTTAGGGACTATACCACCAGAGCTCCTTCAAAGGACACCATCAATTGTCGATGGATCTTTCTTTCCAAGATGTTAGATATGAAATAAGTGATCATCTAAAAATTTGTGATGTAAGATATATATAGCAACATCTCTTAGAAGAGTAGACATGAAAAACTGTGAACAATCATGTGAATGATCAGAATTCCCAACTGTATAGTAGAGCTGACAGGGGCAAGGTTGTGGTCATTGCTTGGTCACAGCCAGCTACCCAGAGGGACCGAGTAGTTGAACCTGTGGGCTTGGGACCATAGTCGCAGGGGACATCAAGCTCAATTGGCATAACATACTATACAAAACATTGTTCCACCTACTACTTTGGCAAGTAGCGACTGGGACCTTAAAAGCTAGGAAGCTGCCATCTAGATGCAACAACGGGTCTTTCCTCATCAAGAAGAAAGAAGAAAACCAAAATTAATGGAAACAATCAGTCCTAGCGACTGGTACACCATCCGATCTGCAACCTATACAACTATGAGACCAGAAGAACTAGATGGTGCCCAGCTACCACTGCCATCCACTTGGAAGGGATGTAGGAGATCCTGCATAGAGAGGGAGAACAATGTGGTACAAAACTCAAAATCATTTGGAGGAAAAAAAAAAAAAGAAGGTGGGGACCAGGTTTGCTGGTCCAATAGAGCCTGGTGTAACCACTGAGACTATGGCCCCTAGCTGCCCTTCAGGTCTGGAATTGAACCCACACCTGTGGTTTCCAGCCAAACAAAGTACAGGCATGTGAGTTAAACATTTACCTCAAGTAGACACACGCCCTGGAGAGAACAATCATGGGAGAAGGAACGGCTGCTTATGCACAGGGAGATAGCTCAGGGTGCAGAAGGGATGGACACTGGGAGGAGGTAACTATGGGGAGGAAGTGGGAGGGGAGCTGCTGCATTGTAAATTTTGGTCAATGACATGAGACAAAGTATATGTGAACTGCTGTATGAAAAGTGAATTTACTCTGTAAATCTTCACCCAAATCCTAATAAAAAAAAAAACTGTGAACAAAATGTGAATTAAAAAGACTAGACCATCGTGGGTCACAAGATTCTCATTGGGTGCTAAGGAGACATTTGGCAATGTTCAGCGTCCAGATCTGATTAAAAACATTTTTAAAAAACGTAAATGGGAATTGATCAAATGTACATCATCTAAATTAATAGCCTCTTTTCTTAACGGTGAAAGGATAAAAGCCAAAGCAAAGGCAGGGTATGATTTTTGGAAAGGAAAAGAAGAAATTGTTTACTAACTATGTGCCTCATCCTAGGAAAACCTAACAAATCAACAAATGTGGCTGAATCCAAGAATTTCATATGGTGTTGGAACCAGGCGAGTGTGCAAAGTTAGAAACTTTCCTGGGTGTCCTCAATAACCAGTTAGGAGATTGGGAAAGAAGGAAAAGTGATGCAGTTTCACTAGTCATTCAGCCAGTGCCTTATGCCTCTCCAAGCTCAGAGGTCCTGCCTAAGCAGGCCTCATCCTGGGACCCATGAGTCCTTTACCTGGGGCTCGTGCTGAGTTACCCAGGGTGAGGTGTAAGTGGTAGCTGGGATGGTTTGTTCGTTACCTTTGTTGGTGGCTTCTTGTCTAGGTGGGAGTGTGGATTGATGCTGGTAGCCGTTACGAGACTGAGAAGAACAATGGGGCTGGCTACTTTGTGGAACATCTGGCTTTCAAGGTGAGACTCTAGAAGCCCTGGATCTTCTTTGGGCCTATTGTTCCTCCTGAGGATGCAGGCGGAAAAGTCATCCTCCTTAGTTGTAGGTCTCAACTGGGGAGAGGGAACTCTCACTGGCCTTTCTGGATTGAGTCACATGGGCTTAGCTTCTCCAGTGAGTACCTTTTGGGTACACCCCAGCATCACGCCCCAGGGCCAACAGGGACCCAGGGAGCCATAAGACCCTCACAGTTCACAGGAGAGGCCAGGCCTGTGTATGCCATGTGTGCTTGTGAAATATTCTGCTCCCTGGGTGTCTTTTTTTTTAAAAAAAAAAAAAAAGATACGATCGTGGTGGTGGTAATTGCCATTGAGTCAATTTTCAGCTCATAGCAACCTCATGTGCAGAAGTAGAACTGCTCCCATACAGTTTTCCTGGCTGTAATTTTTTTTTCCTTTGATCATAGTGAAAACATACACAAGACATCCATACCATAACAACTTGCTGGGTGTCTCTTGGTCATAAAAGGGAGCACTGAGCTTTCTGGAGGGTGGTAACTGTCATCACTGTAGTCCCTCAGCCAGTCTATGTCGACACACAGTAGAGACTAAGTATTTTAAGCAAACAACAAGGATGAAGAAAAGAGGTGTGGAAGAAAGGTCCCCCCCATACTCAACGTTGGCATGAGTATGAGACAGGAAAGCAGGATCACAGCATGAGTGTATATCTCAGCATGTACAGGTATGTCATGAAACAAAGCCACCCTGCCACACAGCTTATGTGGGACTGTAATTGAGTCCCACAGAAGCAGCCACTAGCACATACACACAGTAATGAATGGTGTCAGGGGAGGTTACACAGGTGTGAGCTTACCTGACCATGGCTGTCAGTAAGGGGAGGGTCACCTGGCATAGCCAGTCAGTCATGGGAATGCTGGACTTTCCAGCAATACTTGCTCTGGCCATGGCCTTTTGTCCTAGCCCTTGCCTGTCTCTGTCCTGTTGGCCCATGATGCTGTGCATTCAGTCAGCTCCCAGCCTGCTTAGCACTTGTGAGCAGTCTCTGGGCCTCACATCCCCACAATTCTTGTGGCTGAGGGAGGTACCTGTGGAGCAGTGGTTCTTCTGAGACTTTATCCTATGAGGACAGGGTGGGCTCCTACACAGCTCCTCTTTGGTCCTATTGTTGCCTGATTTCAGGGAACAAAGAATCATCCTGGCAGTGTTCTGGAGAAGGAGGTGGAGAACATGGGGGCCCATCTTAATGCCTACAGCACTCGGGAGCACACAGCTTACTACATCAAGGCTCTGTCCAAGGACCTGCCGAAAGGTAACACCCTGGAGGATGGGGTGTGGGCAGAGTGGGGAGGGTTCCAGTGGAGTAGGGAACAGGCTCCTTGGAGCTCCTGGCCTGGCCACAGAGTCATATTACCTGTATGATATGGCTTGGCTGGGAGATGCCAGACGGAGTTTTGTGCTGTCACTGGTCTCTAGGGCCTTCCCTGGCACCCCAGACATGTCCCTCTTGTGTCTAGCTGTGGAGCTCCTGGCTGACATTGTACAGAACTGCAGCCTAGAAGACTCAGAGATTGAGAAGGAGCGGGATGTGATCCTGCAGGAGCTTCGGGAGAATGATGCATCTCCGCGGGATGTGGTCTTTGACTACTTGCATGCCACGGCGTTCCAGGGCACGCCCCTGGCCAAGGCTGTGGAGGGGCCCAGTGAGAACGTAAGGTGAGGGTCAGCTAGGCCCATGGTGAATGCATCCCCCAGTTTGGGCCTGGGTCAGATCCCTTCCAGGCCATGTCTACACAAGTTTGTGTATAATTGGCTGACTGCTTATATTATCTGTTTATTTTCCTAATTCACGTGTTTGGAGACTTTTCTATGTTGGTGTGTGGTCCTTGTGAATCTTTTTTAATGGCCGTGTGGTGTTCACTCAAGTTTCAGGTCATATTTTACGATATGTTTCCACACATGTTCTGACAACCCAAAGAAGTAGGCATCTTGGTATCCCACCCATGTGGCTCCTTGTCCTCTGGTGGGAGGTGGGCTATAAGGATCTCCACAGCATCATCTCACTCCCTCCTGAGGGAGGACTGTCAGCCTGTCCTGGAGTGGGGTGTTAGGCAGGACTGCATGAGGGCAGCCCTTTAGGCCCCAGAGGAGTGGGTACCAGAGATGGGGGAAGGGGACTGAGGAATGTGCCTGGGTGTAGACTACTCTCCAGAGAAGCTTCTCATCTGCTCCTCAGCCCATTTTGTGCTGCCCCCCTTACTCTGGTTTGGGAGAGGTGTTGACTCACTGCTGCATGTCTTGTAGGAAGCTGACACGTGCAGATCTGACAGAGTACCTCAGCAGGCATTACAAGGCCCCCCGGATGGTGCTGGCAGCAGCTGGAGGTGAAGCCCTGTGGTAATGGGCGAATGGGCACAGATCCTGGTTGCCAGAGTCCAGGGGTCCTGATGTGACCGCCTTCTACTCCTGGGTACTCTGTTCCCACCCTACCCATTGGGGGGGGGCTCTCTAAGGCAAGGTAGGGTTCTACTCTGTCACCAGCACTGGGACTCTTTAGCACTGGCCTCTGTTGGGCTGCTGGCCCCTCCCCAGGCTTCAGGCTTTTTCCAGCCCCACGTGGTCCCAGGAGAGACTGTACTCAGTATGAGAGCTGGGGGACACAAGCATCCAGGCTTGTTCCTCGTGGCTTCACCAGTGGGCAAGCCAGACACTGGATATGTGATGATGCACACTTGCTAACAAGCTGAAAAGTACTAAAAGGAGGACTCACTTAGAATTGGAGGTTGGGTTGAAGCACGTTTGAACAGAGGCCTAAAAGGATAGTGTGAGTTAGATAGCTGGGATGTGGGGGACCTGAGCGGGGGGGGGGGGGAGCAGTGCCATGGTCTGATGTTAAGGCTTGCTCTGCTGCCAGGGAGGGACTGGAGCAGAGACAGACAGACCAGGGAAGGGCTGTGACAGACACCTGGTGGGAGACCACAGGAATAAGGAAGAGAAGTGGATATACTCAAGATGGTTTTATACATAAAAACTTGACAGGGGCCTGGACATGGTGGGTAGGGGAGCAGGGTCAAGGATGCTTCCTCGATTTATGGCCTTGGCAGCTGGGTGGGTGAAAGAGACTGATGAGAGCTTGACTAAGGGCCTTGAAGCTAGGGAACCTGGGAACCAAGAGCAGTTTGAGCTACTGACATGTCAGACTTTGTTTTGTCAGAGCAGGGCCTGAGCTTGGGAGAGGTAAGACTAGCAGGCCCAGGCAGCTGGCAGGCTGTTGCTCTGGGGCTGGCTGGCTGCTGCCCTAGTGCTTACCAGTCAGGGTGCTGGGACAGCAGAGGCAGGCTCTTGAGAAGGTGAGGAGGGGAGGTCCTGCAAAGGGTCCTGATGGGATAGATTTATAATGTGATTTATAAATGTCCCGAGCTCTTGGGCCCCCAGAGCTTATCACAGCCCTCTAGTAGCACCCCTTTATGTACTTGTACTTATTAACCCCCCACAGGGGCAACAGCCAGGATCTATACTTGAGGAAGGGCTGGAGGGACAGGACAGGGCAGGCTAGGTAGCCTTGTGCCCAGGCAGCACCAGTTTCGCCCTTGTTGGAGGTGAGATGCCTTTTCTAGGGTGAGAATCAACACTGTGTCAAACGTGAACCTGTTACTGAAGCTCACTGCATTGCTGCTGTCCTGTGGCTGAGGAAGGGGGAGTTGTTTAGCCCAGAGGGGCCTGCCTTGCCCACAAAGCAGGACCTGTGGATGGAGGATCCTCTTCCCTTGCCCTGTCCTGATGTCCTGTCTTCCTTCTGGTGTCTCCTAATGAGATAGGACATGAGAGGGTCCTCTGCCTGTTCTTGGGACCCTGGCTGGCCAGTAACACCACTGTCTATTTCGTCAGGGGTGGAACATCGACAGCTGCTTGACCTCGCCCAGAAGCACTTCAGCAGCATCTCTGGGACGTATGCGGAGGATGCCATACCCACTATCGAGCCATGCCGCTTCACTGGCAGTGAGGTGTGCTGCCTGGTGGGCAGGGATACTGCTTTTCAGCTGGAGGCCTCTGGGAGGACCCTAGTGTGCATGGTTAATCCATATGACCTCCAGAAATGCCTCAGGAGTTGGGAAGGGGTCCTGTGGCCACTGCCTTAAAGCACACATGTTCACACACGCACATGTTATACCCACACTAGCACTGTTCCTGGTCACCTGGGCATTCTGACTGTCCCCCATCCTTACCATGTACTGTTTCAGATCCGCCACCGTGATGATGCCCTGCCCCTGGCCCATGTGGCTATTGCAGTAGAGGGACCTGGCTGGGCCAACCCAGACAATGTGGCCCTCCAAGTGGCCAATGCCATTATCGGCCACTATGACTGCACCTATGGTGGCGGCAGGGTGAGTGTTGGGGCGAACATTGGACCTTGCCTTCAGGGAGGAGAGAGTGTTGGGGCTGTGGGGCTCAGGGTGTGGCCACAGACAGGAGGATGGCTACTAACTGCCTTTGCCCCTGGCAGCACCTGTCCAGCCCACTGGCTTCAGTTGCTGTGACCAACAAGCTGTGCCACAGTTTCCAAACCTTCAACATCTGCTATACAGAAACTGGCTTGCTAGGTGCGCACTTTGTCTGTGACTGCATGAACATTGACGACATGATGTTCTTCCTGCAAGGCCAGTGGTGAGCGCCAGCCCAGGACTGGGTGGCATGGGGGCTTGTGAGCAGGGTCATGGGAAGCTAAGAGAGACACACAGTCTCAGAGTGTAACTGCCCCCCTCGCCCCTGGCTTTAGGATGCGTCTTTGTACTAGTGCCACAGAGAGTGAGGTGGCACGGGGCAAGAATATCCTCAGAAATGCCCTGGTGTCTCATCTGGACGGTAAGCTCTGCAGTCCTCTGGGGGAGGTGGGGAGATGTATGCTGGTGGCAGTGACAGCCCCACTATGGTCACCATCCTAACCAAGGGTAAAAAGGAAAACACTAAGGATCCCACCATACCTCCCTCTCCCCTGGTCTGTAAGGTCTTGACATTCCTAGGTCAGGAGCCCATCATTTCAATAGGAAAGAGAGGGTAATTGTGAGCTCCTATCAGAGCAAGAAACAGGCTTTAGTCTGAAGCGGAACTTCTGTGTACACCTGTGGTCCAGGACTGGACTGGGCAGGCCCTAAGCCTCCTCCCACCCCTGCAGGTACCACCCCTGTGTGTGAGGACATCGGACGCAGCCTCTTGACCTATGGCCGCCGCATTCCCCTGGCTGAGTGGGAAAGCCGGATTTCGGTAACACAGGCCTCCGTGGGAGAGGTTCCGGAGGCTTGGCCTGACAGGCCTCTGTGGAGGCTGGGGAGTTAATTGGGGCCTGACAAAGTAGAGACTTCCTGGTGTCCTAGGCAGCCATCATCCGCAGGAGAGGTGTAGTTGGAGGCGGGCTGAGGTACTGATGATGAGTTGGGTGGGGCCGTGGAAGCCTACAGTAAGGAGATCCCTGCTGCCTTTCCTCTTTTTGGGTTGAGGGACAGGTCCCTGGTCTGGGTGGTAGGTCTTGGTCAGCTGTGTAATGTTGGCTGGCCACGGTGGTCCCCAGGTGGCCTGTGAGTCAGCATGCCTTCTGCTTTGTCTGCAGGAGATTGATGCCAGCGTAGTACGTGAGGTCTGCTCCAAGTACTTCTATGACCAGTGTCCTGCAGTAGCTGGATTGGGTGAGTGGCCTAAAGTGGCTCTTTGTCCTCCTTGGGCCATACTCTTGGCCTCTGCTTCCGCTTCTGCTCTTTCCCCCAGCACTGGGAGTAGCAAGTTGAAGCCTCCAAGAGGCTCTCCCCAGTAGCCTGGCTGCCAGGGAGCTCTTGCTCAGTAACCTGTCCCAGCAGCTCCCTGATTCCCTGCCAAGGTGCCTCCATCAATACCCCACACCCGCCAGGTAACGGGCACCTCTGTGTGTGGGGTGGGGCGCTGAGGGCCAGAACATGAAGGGACAGGCTCAGCACCCCTGAAGGAATGTTCTCTTCCCTCTTTCCATTGAAAGCCTGCCCTGTGCTGCTCTGGGCAGCTTCGAGTCGGGTAGGGCACAGGGCCAGGTGTCCCTGTGCAGGCCAGGTGCCCCACCCTGACGCCCCACCCTATCCCCACAGGCCCCATCGAGCAGCTCCCAGACTACAACCGGATCCGTAGCGGCATGTTCTGGCTGCGCTTCTAGGCAGAAAGCCTGTGCAGGCAAGAGGGTGGAGCCGGGGCTTATGGTACCCCCACCACACACATACCACTCTGGCTTCTCAGACCTTAGTAAGAAGAGGGCAGGTCACACATTACCACCAATAAAGTCCAGTATTGAGAACTGTGTTGCCCCTATCTTTGCATTGGCATTGAGCCCAGTTGAAGATTGGGGACTTCTCTGTAATTCTTCATCCCCTGAATCCTTCTGCCTTTCCATAGGCTGATGTATCCTCAGCCAGGGGTAAGTGTGGGGGCTGCAGCGTGGAGGCTGGAAGCCTTTGATGCTTGCAGGGAGCTGATCCCAGATGTTCCCACTCAACCACATGGGGGACATTCCTCAGCTGCCCTGTCCTAAGAGTGGGGGCGTGAGAGTCTATAGGAACTAAAGACCCAGCTTTGTCCTGGGAAGGGTCCCAGCCTGGAAACGCAGGGTTTGTGTAGAAAGCCCCTTGCTGTGGACCCTGTAAAATTGTCCTCTGGAGGTCCTCGGCCCCCTAGGATGGACTAGGAGGGGCCAGGGGCTGTCTTTGAGGAAGCCTCTTCATTGTGTTTACTCTGGATTCTGGGAGGAGGATAGCCTGGGGCAGTGTTCCCATTTGGTTTCTAACTGCTGCCTGGACAAGCAGGGCAAGAATCTTTTGCCTCGATTTTGCCGCTGACTCAGGCTCTAAGAATAGCCCTGAGCTCAGTGGGGCCCAAGCCCCCTCCCTTGGTTAGGTCTGTCCCAAACATGTCCTGAGTTGCTGGCCCGATGATCCCCTCCCCATCTCCCTGTGGTGGCTGAGACCTGGTGGACCACTCAGCTGTCTAGTCCCTCTGCCACCCCTTTGGTCTCCAAGGCAGGTGGGCAGGTAGTCCTTTTTCCTACACCCTCGGGTACTTTCACAGTCAGGTTCTCTGCATCTCAAGGGAGAGATGGAAGCAGGGGACCCGATTCTCCTATGAAGAGGCTGCTGGCCAGGATTCACGAAAAGGATCCATTCAGAAGTACCCCCAGCATCCCAGCTTGGAAGCAGCCAAAACAACCCTTGCATCACTTCCATCTGCCCAAGTGTCTTTCTTTCACCTCCACATGTGTCAGAGTAGTGGCACAAAGTGGCTGGTTTTTTTGTAAATAGGTTGCCAGGGCATTCTTCCAAGGTACCTCCCCAGTGGACTTTAACCTTTCAGTTAGCATTGACTACATTAACTGTTTGTACCACCCAGGGACACCCATTTGTTGCCACAGATGTCAATCAAGAAACATTTGTCAAGTGCCTCCAGAGCCGAGAAAACCGGCTGGAAGACTTGCCAGCTCATCCTTCTATTGTCTGACTGCTGGAGAGGAGCCACTGGACAGTGCAGAACCCTGACAGCCTGCCCCTGGGTGCTGTAGGTTTCTAAGAGGACAAGTAGATGCTACACACCAGGCAGAGAGATCCATAGATGCCATGTTTCTTGTTCCAAATTTGAGCCCCTGGAGAATGAGGTTTGATTTCTCTTCTGAGCCCAAGCTTGACCCTCTAGTCACACGAGAAAGCTCTACCCACTGGTAGTGATATAGTCCCAATGGACCTTGAATGCCAAACCAGGGAGTTTGGTTTTACCCTGAAGGCATGATGGAAAGGGCATCAGGTTGCCATGAAGATAAGGGATGTGGTCAGAGTTAAGATAAGTACGGATTTCTGTGGCAACGCTAGAGAACTACACTGGCAGAGTAGAGGTCATCGGCGTAGGAAGAGATCCAGAGGGGGACAGCAATCACCAACAGGGCTGGGGAGCCGTGGAAGGGGGTTAGGTTGTAGGAGGATGAACTGCCTAGCTTTGGCCATGGTTCTGGTGAGGCGTTTGGGGGTGTCCAAGAGATAATGGAACATGTCCCAGGAGCTGGAGTCCTGGGAAGAAGCTCAGCTTCTTTCAAATATGGTAACAAATACAGTGCCATTTTGCCATGAAGCTGGGGAAGAAAGTGTCTAAGGGAGTGTGGAGCATGCAGGGAGGACAGCTCTTAGGACCACTGCCCTGAGGGGGGAGCTGAAGGTGCTGCTCCCCTAGGAGCCCTCTGGGGCTGCACCCTAGGTTGTGTGCCTGCTGGGAGGCTGGAGCCAGTAGCCTTGGAGGGCCCTGCCCTACCCATAAGCTTCATGGGGGCTCCAGATACCTACTTATCCCTAACCTTGTTTGAACCTCCCAACAGCCTATCCCAGTGACCCCCTCACAGCAGCCCTTCTTTCCTTTTGTGGCTGTCTCACAACTTTACCTGAACACCCTCAGCTGAGCCTCCAGTCTCTCCACCACAGGCTGGACCCATACCTGTGTCTTTGTCCACGACATCTGCCCTGCACCCACCCATCCTTTGTAACAAGGAATGGTATATCAGGCTCCCTGATGCCCTCCCTTGTAGGAGGAACATGATAAAGGGGCTGTCCCTGCAGCTTTGGCCTTTCTGGACAGCATGGATGGTCCTCATTGCCCCAAGTTCTGGCCATACCAGTCATCAGGCCTGAGTTCAACAGAAGCACTGTGCCCCATGTCTCCCTACTCAGCCTGTGGATCCCCATGTTGGAAGGGGCAGGTGGTAATGGTGAGTGTAGGTGAGCTTTCTGACCTGCCCAGAATCATTCAGGATGGGTGGGAAAAGAAATACGCAAAGCTAGGTGGGGACCTGCTCTTTTTAGGGGTTTTTCTCTGCATTGATGTCACCCTCCTAGTGATGAGTCATATCCTCAAGACCAAAAATGAAAAACTTAATTCACTGCCATCGAGTTGATTCTGACTGATAGCAACCCTCACTGGGTTTCCAAAGCTCTGAATCTTTATGGATGCAGAGTGCCCCATCTTTCTTCTGCAGAGCATCTGGTGGATTCAAACCACCAACCTTTTGGTTAGCAGCCTAATGCCTTAACCACTACTTCACCAAGGCTACGTGTATCCTTAAGACAGTTCATCCTTGAACTGGCAGAAGGGACATTGGGGATACTGTCCAGTCACAGAAGCCAGTCAGGGAAGGGGAGATGGGAAGTTAGACTGGATAAGAGGAGAGTGGGGCAGGGGATGATTCTTAAGCTATAGATCTCTTGACCACCAGGGGATATGAGGTGAAGAAAGGAAGAAGGGTCCCAGAGTAATCCCTGGGCCTGGTGGCAGGAGTAACAGGAGGGACATCTTCAAGAAGAGTTGATTGAAGGGGAGTCTGACAGACTGGAGTGAGGATGTATCGTTCTGGGGGTAACCCGGCCTGGAGCTCAGACAGCCCACTAGTGTGCGTGTGGGCAAGGAGGTAGTAGATTCCTAAGGGATGAGTTATCACCATGGGTGGTCCCTCTCTCCACATCTGGGCATCCCCCTCCTTGCAGGCACAGCTGGATGGCATCTGCCTGAGACTGCTTCAGGGCATGGTAGGGGGTGTGGGGCATTGGAATGGACACCTATGCATAAGCACAACACAGGTTCTCTTTCTGGTTTCCCCCTCCAAGTGTGTGTGGGGGTATTAGCTGCCTCCAACTCAGTGGGCCCTGGGTTTCCCTGGGATGCTTCAGAGCCCCTCAAGTGCTGGGGCTGCTAAAACTGGAAAAGGGGAATGACGTGGGGCACAGGAGGCCTGACAGACAGACAGAAGGATAGCTGAATCACAGCAGTGGCTGGCGGGACCCATGGCCTGAGGGCTTGTCTGGGCCTCCCCCCAAAGGGTGGGGGTGAGTCATCTCCAGCTGTTGCCTCCTTTATCCACCTCTGCTGCTGCCCCTTCTGCTTCCAGGAACTTGTCTGCATCCCAGTCTCCACAGTCATTTCACAAGTCACTCTGATTGACCAAAAGCAGCCAAGACCCCTGACCCTCCAGGGTGAGGAGGCTCCCTGAACCATCAGTTCTGGAGCGAAAACTGTAGGGTGATTCCCAGAGGCCACGGGAAGGGGGCTTTACATTTAGGTGGAGTGGGATCTTCTGTCCGGAGAAGGGTAGCGGGAGGGGGGAGGGGGTGACCTAGCGGGGCGATGGGTGGGGGCGGGCCGCCTGGGTCCCCGCCCGCCGCTCCGCCCCCTGGGATCGGGGACTTTTCTCTGCGGTGGCGGCCGGACGGCAGCGGCGGCTGCGGGTGCTGGCGGACGCGCAGGCAAGGCAGGGCTGGACGGCTGGCTGAAGGACGTTAGAGGGGTCTCTGGGTTCGGGTTTGTTGAGGCCGCGGGGGGACGAGAGGCAGGAGTGAGGGTCCTGGCTAACCGTTTCCCTCACCCAGGATGAGGCTGCGACTCCTGGTGGCCGCGCTCTGCGCTGGGGTCCTGGCGAAGGCGCCCCGAGTGCGGGCCCAGCCCGGGGAGAGAGGTGCGTGCGGCGCGGGAAGGACCCAGTCCAGAGCTTTGTATCTCGTCACTCGCGGCTCCGCCCGGCCTCCATCCTGCCCTCCCCACCCCCACGACCCGCGGAGATCTCTACCAACTCACAGCGAACTTCCTAAACCTTCCGCGACCCGCACTGGGACCCCCAAATCGCTATCCCCGTTAGCCCCCACTTCTGGCTCCCCAAAAGCGCTCTGGGTTCCCTATCCTCTGCTACTCTGCGCCAGCCCCTCCTAAACCTGCACCCATCCCCAGAGACCTACCTCCGTTTCAGAGTCACACCCGCGCGGGTCCCCCGCCCTTCCCAGCCCCAACCTTCCGGCGCAAGACCCGGTTCCGGGCCCACCGCGGCTGCGTCCAAGCTGTCAGGGCCGGATTTACATAAATAGATGAAGCTGCTCCCCAGGCCCCGAAGACCCGTTAGAGGAGGGGAATAGTGGGCTGCGAGGAGAGGTCGTGACCTCTCCTCCGTGTCCCAGTGACCTGCACGCGTCTTTATGCGGCTGACATCGTGTTCCTAATTGACGGCTCCTCATCCATCGGCCGCAACAACTTTCGAGAAGTCCGCAGCTTCCTAGAAGGACTGGTTCTGCCTTTCTCTGGGGCAGCCAGTGCACAGGGCGTGCGCTTTGCAGCGGTGCAGTATAGTGACGACCCACGGTGAGTGGGGGTCACCTGGGGCTGAGCACCCGGAGACCCCACACAATCTTTCCCTCAGACAGAAGCTGGAAGCTCAGGAACTCCCAGGCCAGGCCACTTCAGAGATAGGCTTCAGGGAACCCAGAGACCCCAAGCCATGACCGACCCCCTCTATAGAGAGAAGCAAGAGTACAGCTTCCTGGGTAGAGCCCTTGCCCCTTGAGACATTCTCCAGGCTAGTGCCTTGCTAAAGGCAGGGCTCTGTTTTCTGATCTAGAGGTGGAAACCCCCAGATGCTCCATATCTGCCAGACACGCCATGTTCTAGCCCTCTGACTCCTTCAGCCCCTCCGTTCACCCAGAGAGCCTTCTTATCTGGCCACTGTCCACCATCTGACAGACTGGGCTCTTCCCCTGTAATTATTAAATTAGCCAGATATCCAGCCTACTTGCTCCTCAGGCTATTAGCTCCAAAAGCTCCAAGCCTGCACAGGCCCAGCCACAGGTGGGCTCAAAGGGACACCTGTTAACCTGGGGGCTTCAGAGTTGGGGGCAGGAACCACAGAATTAAGAGGGCCCTCTAGGAACCCTGACTCCATGACTTTTACCCTAGAGGCCTCCTAGAGGCCAGGGCCAGAAGAGGTCCTGACTCCTAACCTGTTGCTACCCGCCCCTCCAACCCCACAGGACAGAGTTTGGCCTGGATGCACTTGGTTCAGGGGTTGATGCAATCCGTGCCATCCGTGAACTCACTTACAAGGGAGGCAACACGCGCACTGGAGCTGCAATTCTCCATGTGGCTGATCACATCTTCCTGCCCCAGCTGGCCCGACCTGGTGTCTCCAAGGTAATCCCTAATCTTACCATACCTCTCAAAGTGACTTAAATCAAGTGTCTGAGTCAGCCCTGACTTGACCCCTGCACCTGCTCCAGGTCTGCATCCTGATCACAGATGGGAAGTCCCAGGACCTGGTAGATACAGCTGCCCAGAGGCTGAAGGGGCAGGGGGTCAAGCTCTTTACTGTGGGTGAGTATCAAGCTGGGGTGAGGGGTCAGCTGGGGCAAGGATCAGTCAGAGGGCATGTGGCAGCTGACCTCTGATTGGGCATCACTTCAGGGATCAAGAATGCTGACCCCGAGGAGCTGAAGCGAATTGCCTCACAGCCGATCAGCGACTTCTTCTTCTTTGTCAATGATTTTAGCATCTTAAGGACCCTACTGCCCCTTGTTTCCCGCCGAGTGTGCACAACTGCGGGTGGTGTGCCCGTGACCCTACCCTGTGAGTTCCTGCCCATACTTTATGCGCTGATCTAGACCTCTGATCCTGACCTGGGAGAGCTGATTTCACCCCAAGTGCTCCTGGGCCCTTGACTCCAAGCTGGGAGTGCTGTCCCCTGATCCTGACTTAGAGCACACTATGTGCTCCTAACTTATGACCCTAACCCTATCTCGAGTGCTGACCTTTGACTCTCCTGCCTTAGTGCCCTACAATTCCCTTCACTTCTAGCTGATGACATGATCTCTGGCCCACGGGACCTGGTGCTGTCTGAGCTGGGCAGTCAATCCCTACTAGTACAGTGGACAGCAGCCAGTGGTCCTGTGACTGGCTATAAAGTCCAGTACACTCCTCTGACAGGACTGGGGCAGCCATTATCAAACGAGCGGCGGGAGGTAAGGAGAAGTCAGGAGTGGGAAGTGGATGCTGGGACTTGGCTGGGCAAGATGCAGTGACCTCTGACCCTGGGCAGGTGAGCGTTCCAGCTGGTGAGACCAGCATGCGGCTGCAGGGCCTCCGGCCAATGACTGAGTACCAGGTGACTGTGGTCGCACTCTATGCCAACAGCATCGGGGAGGCTGTGAGCGGGACAGCTCGGACCAGTAAGCAAATACCGCCAACCTTTGACCCCACTCACCTAACCACCCTCCCCAGTAACCTTTCTCACTCCTGACTCCTAATCTCTGGTGGGATCTTCCCTTAGCTGCCCTGGAGGGGCCAGAGCTGACCATCCAGAACACCACAAACCACAGCCTCCTGGTGGCCTGGCGGAGTGTGCCAGGTGCCACTGGCTACCGTGTGACATGGAGGGCCCTTAGTGGTGAGTGAGATGAGGGAAGTCCCTGTACTTCAGACGGGATTGTAGGGTCCTGAGTCTGATCCTGTTGTATCCCCCAACCCAGGTGGGGCTGCAGAGCAGCAGGAGCTAGGCCCTGGGCAGCAGTCAGTGTTGCTGCGTGGCCTGGAGCCTGGCACAGACTATGAGGTGATGGTGAGCACACTGCTTGGCCGTAGTGTGGGGCCTGCTACCACCCTGACTGCCCGTACTGGTGAGAAAGTCTGGGTGCTTTCATTAAGCTGGGATGGGGTAGGCAGGGCAGGGTGACTGATACCCCGTGTGCCCTGGGCAGACATCTCTGTTGAGCAGACCCTGCACCCGGTCATTTTGGGCCCCACATCCATTCGTTTGTCCTGGAACCTGGTGCCTGAGGCCCGAGGCTACCGACTGGAGTGGCGGCGTGAGAGCGGTCAGTGCAGGGGTATGTGGGCAGGCAAGGGGTGGGGTTGGGCCTCAGCTGACCTGACCCCATCATCTTCCAGGCTTAGAGCCACCAAAGAAGGTGGAGCTTCCCTCTGATGTGACCAACTACCAGTTGGATGGGCTGCAACCAGGCACTGAGTATCGCATCACACTCTACACCCTCCTGGAGGGCCGTGAGGTGGCCACACCTGCAGCTGTTGTCCCCACTGGTGAGGGCTTTGTGGTCTGGCCAAGTGTGGAGAAGGTACAAGAGCTCTAGGCTACTTCTCATGCTGTGTCCTCCAATAGGGCCAGAGCTGCCTGTGGGCCCTGTGATGGACCTACAAGCAGTTGAGCTGCCTGGGCAGCGAGTGCGAGTGTCCTGGAGCCCAGTCCTCAGTGCCACTGAGTACCGTATCACTGTGCGCAGCATCCAGGGTGAGGTGGACCTGACCAGGACTTCCTTCTCCTATTAAAGTTCCACTCCTCAGACTGATTGCACCCTCGCCTGACCCCTCCCATTTCTGGGTCCCTATGGCCTCCTCCCCATCTTCTTGTCCATCTACCTCCCAAGATGGCACTGAGCCCAGAACTGTCACATGGCCTTCCTGTCCGTCATGGATGCCTGTCATCCTGCACCCCAACCTGTCAACCCATGTTGTTTTCCACTGACCCATTATCCTATATTTCATGTCTCTGTCCATTGGCCCCTGCCATCCTGTGTCCCCATCCATCATTGGGCCCTCTCATGCCCCCCACTCTATCATTAATCCCTGTTATCTTTCTTTCCATCCATCATTGACCCTTGTCATCCTATTCCTGTCCATCACTGACTCCCTTCCTTCTACATCTGTTTCTCACTCACTCTTTCATCCTATGTTCCATTTCTCCATGACCCTCATTGTCCCCATACCGTACCCCTCCCTAACTCTTTTCATCCTGTATTCCTGTCCTTCACTGACCACCATCATTCTCACATCCCTGTCTCTCACTGAGCCGTCATTCTATGTCCCTATCCATCACTGACCCCTGCCCATCCACCCCGATTTCTCCCTCAGGGGTTGAGAGGACCCTGGTGCTTCCTGGGAGTCAGACAACCTTTGACTTGGATGACATCCAGACAGGGCTTAGCTACACTGTGCGGGTGTCTGCTCGAGTGGGCACTCGTGAAGGTGGTGCCAGCGTCCTTACTGTCCGTCGTGGTGAGCAGTGCAGGAGGGTTGTGGGGGACAGCTGCCTGACTCTCTCTGGTTCTGGTTCTGACCCCTGACCTCTGTCTTCATCCCTCAGAGCCAGACACCACACTTGCCGTCTCAGGGCTGCGGGTCGTGGCGTCAGATGCAACACGAGTGAGGGTGGCTTGGAGACCTGTCCCAGGAGCCAGTGGATTTCGGATCAGCTGGAGGACAGGCAGTGGTCAGTGTGGGGTGTGTGGGAGAATTGCTAAGGGGAATAGTTGGGATGTGGGGACTGATGGGTCAAGCAGGAGCCCAGGCCAATTTTTCCCTCTGACTCTAGGTCCGGAATCAAGCCAGACATTATCTCCAGATGCTACTGTCACAGACATCACAGGGCTGCAGCCTGGGACCTCCTACCAGGTGGCTGTGTCAGCACTGCGTGGAAGAGAGCAAGGCCCCCCTGTGGTCATCGTGGCTCAGACTGGTCAGGGTCTTACCAAATGCCTTGACTATCTGCTTCCAGTACCCCTTCAGACCCCATGCCTCCTGGCTCAGACCCCTACTCTCCCCAAAACTCCAGTCTCCCCCTTCAGATTCCCTTGCCTCTCTCCTAAGATCCTCACTGTCTTTTCCCTCAGATTTCTATATCTCTCATGCCTTTTCTCCTGGACCCCTGTGTCTCCTCTTACAATTTCTCCTTTGTCACGCCCCCTCACTGCCTCCTAACACATCCATCAGAACCCTACCTGCCTTCTCTGTCAGACCTTGTTTTCTCCCAGATTCCTATCGCCTGCCTCCTCAGAATCGCACTACTTCTGTTGGAATGCTTTTCCCCATCTGACCCCTTTGCTATCAGATGCCTGCCTCCTGTTAGACTACCATAACCCTTCCTTATCAGATGGTGTTCACCACCTTCTCCTTCACAGCTTCCCACTGCCTCTTCCATCAGACCCTCACTGTCTCCCCGATTAGACCCCCTCTACCTCTCTCCACAGACCCATTGGGCCCAGTGAGGACGGTCCACGTGACTCAGTCTGGCAGCTCGTCTGTCACCATCAACTGGACCAGGGTTCCTGGAGCCACAGGATACAGAGTCTCCTGGCACTCAGGCCACGGTGGGGACCAGGGACTCAGGAGGGTCATGGGAGGCTAATCTGGCTGGAATGGGGACCGAGTGTTTCCAGAGGTATATCAAGGCAAGGGAACAAGGGGGAACTTGCCCCCAGTTGCAAGTTCAAGGGAGTTCCAGACAAGGTGCAGAGTGATATTCCGAAGTGCCACAAATTGTCTGAGGCAGCTGGACAAGAGGCGAATGGCATTTCTGCTGACAAGTCACTGCTATCAACCTACTCATCTTGAAATTGGGGGGGGGGGTGTTACAATTTAGAGATTGCCCCAGGTGCTCCTTACTCTCACTATACCCCTGGGTGTCACAGGGATCCAGGTGCAACGATGGGAGCAGAATCAGGCTGGTCCTGGAGCTGTCCCCATCCCTGTGTCCAGGCCCGGAGAAATCCCAGCTGGTTTCTGGGGAGGCCACAGTGGCTGAGCTGGATGGGCTGAAACCAGATACAGAGTACACAGTGCACGTGCGGGCCCACGTAGCTGGTGTGGATGGCCCCCCTGCCTCTGCGGTTGTTAGGACTGGTAAGTGGATCCTGGCCAGCTTCTAGCCATGCCTCACTAGCTACCCTAACCTATCCATTCCTCACTGCTACAGCTGCCCACTTCTGTGACTACCCTGTCCATAACCGCCCACCCCACACTGTCTAAGTGTCGACTTACAATGACCTTGTGAATTGCCCCCCACTGCCTACTCCAAGGTGCTTATCTTTTCCTTGTCAGAGGTTGCCTACACTGATCTGTCCATACTAACCTCATGCTGACCTTCAGATTGCTCCTAGGTTGATCCCCTGTCCCCGCACTGCCACCCTGTCCTCTTTTGGCCAAGGAGGGGTCGCTATGAGTCGGGGCCGACTCGACGGCAAACAACAACAACAACAACATTGGCTCATGACCCTTTATCCTGCCTCTGCCTCCAGCCCCTGAGCCCGTGGGCAGAGTGTCAAAGCTGCAGATTCTCAACGCTTCCAGTGATGTTTTGCGGGTCACCTGGGTGGGCGTCGCTGGAGCCACAAACTACAGACTGTCCTGGGGCAGGAGTGAAGGTTTGACCCCTGGGCCCCCGTCCTTGTCCTTCCTGGTCAGGATTAACTTTTTTTTTTTTTTTGGGCGGTTTTTTTTTTTTTAGGATTTGGGTGAAGATTT